TGTTTACACAGCCTTTCGATCAATAATAAAGATCAACTGAACTAGAGGAAAGATTGAATTGTCTTTTCATTATTTTGCATAGAAAATAATATTAGAAAATTGTATGAAAGACTATCAAAGAGAATGTTACCAACAATATAAGAAAAAAATTGTAAAGGTGAGCCAGGCTGATAATAAAAAATACATTGTTTTTCTAGACTGTTACATTTATAGTATTAGTCAATCTTCAAAAATTGGTAATTTGCATAATTTATTTTTTCTGTATATAAATATTCATTTTAATCTAATTTTTATTCCTATTATTAAATCCCTTTTTTTTAAAGAGGGTCCCCCCAAATTATAAAAACTTCAGATGCCACAAAATCTGGATCTGTCCTCAAGTACCCACTATGTGTCAGTTATATGCTGATTCCCACAGATAGAGGTACAGTGATGGATAAGAACCAAGTGCTTGCCCTCAAGGAGCAAGTTTGATGGGGGAAACAGATGAGCAAATAAGGTAAGACAGAGGGAATCTTTCTGTGGGGCAATTGTAGGTCCCCAACTTAGTCTAGAGGGCTCCTAGAAGGCTCACTAGAGGAGATAACTGTCAATACGTTCTCTTCGCTGCCTCTTGCCACCACCTGACTTCCACAAAAAGACTAATTCATAATTTGTGATCAATGAGAAAACCTGAGGTTCATCACACTGTAACCGAATTGCCATTCCCCAATCATAAGTACTGTATTCCTCAAAAGTATGAGAATAACCTGAAAGTGCTGATCCTTGAAGCATTTAAAATAGGATGCAAGAGTAGTTTAGAAATGCTAAGTTTTTTTGTACTGAAAAGTCCACCAGAGGAATAAACTTCTGTATATATCTTAGAGCAGAGTATTTACTGTGTGGCAGGTGGCCCAGGAATATTAAGACAGCTGTCAACATCAAGGAAAGCACCAGCCCGTGAAAAAGCAAGCAGATGGATTGGGGCATTTCACTAGCTGCCTCCTAGAATAATAGCTCTGCGTGGCCGAATGAGGCAATGTCATGCTGCCTAGGGCAGCAAAAAGCTATTACTGAATATAGGCACTCAATTGGGAGATGGGGTGGGGGAATACCCTCCCCTTTCTTTTGTGTGTATTCTAAAGTTTTCATTAAGAACCACCACAGCAAATAAGAAAGGGAAAAAATGATGTTAGCATTTATTTCTGTTACTTTCTGATTATCATGGTTTATAACACAGGGAAATAAATGCCTGTCCTGTTGCTTCAATGAGAACAGATGGTAAATTTTAAGTAATTGGTTATTCCAACCTCTGTGGGATGCATGACGTTTTATTGTACTGTTTTTCTGGTTTTATTTGCAGAACATGTGGAGATTGAGATCTTTCAAATATACATCTTTAATGCTTAAATTAAGTAAGATATGTTAGTTTGACCTAAATTACATTTACACTTTTCTCCCTTTGATATAATGATACAAAGAGAAATAAGTTCTTTACAAAGATATAACATTAACATTAAAAATTAAATATGTACTTTCAAACAGTGCAAAATTTGCTAATATTTAAATGTTGCATTCTTAAAAGTATACACATAGAAGGAGGATGTTTTTAGCAAACACATATTATAAAATGTATTCCAAAATAGTTGTTCACACCAATTCAGTTTGATGTGTTCTTTATCTAAGTCAAATGCTATCTGAAATATAAAGACATATGTAGAATATTAACTTTTATTCATGTAGCTTCATAAGCATGACATAGATCATGGTTCAAAATTCTAATTTACTATTAGATGAGAAATTCAGCCTCTGTATTCTATTTTCCCAAAATATTTCATCTGAGTACCTGGACTATTACTGTATTATGCATTTCTAGTATACAATTTTAAATGCACCTATTCTATAAAGAACAGTTATTTTTGGACTGTACTATATTAGTGTTGATTATAAATTTTGTTTCTTAGGGCTTCATGAAACAAAGCTTTACAGTAAAAATAAAAAATGGCTTGTGAATTGGCTTCCTTTTCTTTATTTCGATATTTTATAACATACATGTCTCAGAAGCCTGAGATCCTTTACTATGGACACTTTGTTCCCAGTTTGATTTCTTGGAAATTGTTTAAAAACAAAGCACAGAGGCAGCTGCTATTGTGAGCAAATGTTTTGATTAGGGAGAGAAAGCAGCTGGAAATGCTACATGCTGTCATATAAGATGAACCACTGTTTTCACATGGGGACTTTACATAATCTAAAATTGAGATTAACATTATTTCTCTTACATGAGTTTTCTTTCCATAGAATAGAAGAGAAATATATTCACTTTGATTATAACCTGGAGTGATGAAGTAATGAATATAATGGTGAATATAAACTTGATGTACTTATCTATGGAAATCTTACTCCATTCTGAAATAATATCATTAACAAACTTTCTGAAATTTTCATTTTAAAATATGGCTAAATGTAGTAACAATAAATTCATATGGAGCCTATATGTTAACAAGTGTTATGGTAGATTATATAAATTTTTATTTTTTTTTTTAAACAGGTGGCAAGTACATTTCTCAATGACTCCACTTTCATTTTGGAAAATTTGTAAAAATTCTTCAAACTATAACTTAACTGGCTTTTCAAATAGTGAAAAAAAACCAGACATCAAATATTTTCATCATTCTATCCTACCAATTGAATTCCTTCCTCAATTCTAGTCAACTTTTCATTGGTAAAGGAAAAAAGGAGTTAACTATGAAAAGAGGTCAAATGGAGGACAAGAAGTTGGGTTCTATTAGTTTTTTCCCTTACTGGAAATTTTTACCCTTTTGCCCTCTGGAAGTGTCACGAATGAGGCTGGGGATGCTGAAATGTGTGTATGTGTGTGTGTGTGTGTGTTTAATATGTCTTTTTTTAATCAACATGAAAAGATGTAATAAGTATTATTTAATGTACTTGAACACATTTTCACTATTATTTATCACTTTGAAAATTACTGGAAAAGATACTGGGTACTTGACTCCCAGAGGACAGTAATTCTATCTAAGACCCCGTTATGATGGGATTTGATGAGATACTGCAGAAGCACTCTGTTTAGCAAAAGACAATAAGCAAAAGGAATGATATTTATCATAAACTTTCAATAGAAATATTTTGACTCAAATATCAAAGTAAAAAGATGGTTTTCAATTGATTTCATATTAATAATCATTCTTAAGTTTTCATTTTTTCTGTGTTCTCTATCTTATATTTTATTTTTCTTTTATTCAGTTCCCTAAATAAGCAACTCTAAGTAGTCATTTCCGTATAGGTCATTTGGTTTACTTTCCATACAGGTAAATGTATTGACATGCTTCTTTGAATTATCAAGTCTAGAACACAATTAAATGAACAAATTGATTTTTATAAACTTCACAGTTGGTGTTAATTTTAAATAACTCAAAAAATTAGAATGATGATTCCACTTCCATCTGGTTCAACAGGAACTCCACTTCAAATGATCAATTATGTACATCATCGAATGAAGTAGCTGACCACATCATAGCATAATATCTGTCTTTATGAAAGTATTAGCCATAATGCAACCAGAGGGAAATGGAAACAAATTTACTCACTTGAGTTCTATCATTTTCATTCTAATTCTTTCTACCACTTATCTATATTCTATGACTACATTTGTTCTCTGTAATATGAATAAAATGCAATCTAGGTTAGAACAAGATGTATCTTTGAATGAAATTTAACAAGTAGCCACTGGCAAAACTCTTCCTTAGTAGCTCAGGAAGGCAGAGAAATAAATAAATAAACAAATAAATAAATAAATATAAATAAATAAATGAAATATTTACTAAAAAGCTTATTAATCACTGCACATTTCAAAAAATCAAGAAAACGAAAATTTCTTAAATGAATATCTAGATAAAACCTAAAGATCATTGACTTGGTATTCATCCACTAGTGTTAGCTGCTTCAAACTTCATTGGGAAAAGTGGTGGTAAGAATATATATATTAAAATCAAAGCAACAACAACAAAAACCCCAATATCCTATTTGCAAAGTTATTTTATATCCATCCACCCATTCAATAAACATTTATTCAATTCTTCCAGGCAACGTGTTTCAGAACTGAAATACAGACTGTGATCTACCCTCAAGAAGCTCCATCTCAGAGCAGGAAACATACAACCAAGCAACAGTTGTGGGATTCCAAGACAGTGTGATAAATATGGGCAAGGGGAAATATGTACTGTCATACCTCCTTTCATTGCATTCACTTTATCATGCTTTGCAGATGCCACACTTTTTATTAATACAAATTGAAAGTTTGTGGCAACCCTGTAGTGAGCAAGTCTATTGGCATCATTTTTCTAAAAGCATGTGTCGACATCCTGTTTCTGTCATATCTTGGTAATTCTCACAATATTTCAAACTTTTTGGTTATTATATTTGCTATGGTGATGTGTGATTAGTGATCTTCTATATTACTGTTATAATTGTTTTGGGCACCATGAACCACACTTGTATGATAGCAAACTTAATAAATGTTGCGTGTGTTCTGATTGCTCCTCTGATCAGCCATTTTCCCGTCTCTCTTCCTCTCCTCAGGCCTCCTTATTCCCTGAGACACAACAATATTGAAATTAGGCCAATTAATAACCCTATGATGGCTTCTAAGTGTTCAAGTGAAAGGAAGAGTTGCATGTCTCTCACTTTAAATCAAAATCTGGAAATGATTAAGCTTAATGAAGAAGGCATGTCAAAAGCCAAAACAGGCTGAAAGCTAGGCCTCTTATGCCCAACAGCCAAGTTGTGAATGCAAGGAAAAACTCTTGAAGGAAATTAAAAGTTCTCCTTTAGTGAAAACATGAATTATAAGAAAGTGAAACAACCTTATTGCTGATATGGAGAAAGTTTTAGTGGTCTGGATAGAACATCAAACCAGCTACAACATTACCAAACCCTAAATCCAGAGCAAGATCCTAAGTCTCTTCACTTCTATGAAGGCCGAGAGAGGTGAGGAAGCTGCAGAAGAAAAGTTGGAAGCTAGCCTAGTTAGCTTAGTTGGAAGCTAAATTTTAGGTTAGTTCATAGGTTTAAGGAAAGAAGACATCTCCATGATATAATAGTTCAAGGTGAAGCAGCAAGTGCTGATGTAGAAGCTGCAGGAAGTGAGCCAGAAGATCTAGCTAAGATCATTGATGAAAGTGGCTACACTAAATAGCATATTTCAGTGTGGATGAACCAGCCCCATACTGGAAAAAGATGCCATCTAAGACTTTTATAACTAGAGAGGAGAAGTCAATGCCTGGCTTCAAAAGGACAGGCTAACTGTTGTTAGAGGCTAATGCAGCTGGTGACTTTAAGTTGAAGCACCGATGTTGATGTACAAGGAGATTAATGTTGTTTTCGTGCCTGCTAACACAACATCCATTCTGCAGCCCATGGATCAATGACTAATTTCAACTTTCAAGTCTTATTATTTAAGAAATATATTTTTTAAGGCTACAGCTGCAATAGGTAGTGATTCCTCTGAGGGATCTGAGTAAAGTCAATTGAAAACCTCGGGAAAGGATTTGCCATTCTAGATGCCATTGAGAACATTTGTGATTCATGTGGAAAGGTCACAATATCAACATTAACAGAATTTGGAATAAGTTGATTTCAATCCTCATGAGATGATTTTGAGGGGTTCAAGACTTCAGTGGAGGAAGTAACTGCAGCTGTGGTAGAAATAGTAAGAGAACTACAATTAAAAGCAAAGCCTGAAGAAGTGACTAAATGGTTGCAATCTCAT